CGCGCGGAGCGGGCTGCTCAGCGCCCGGCCGCGCGCGCGCGCTTGAGGTCAACTGCCTCCTCTCCCCCGCCTCACGCGCTGGTGCTGTCACAGCAGGGCAGCGACCCTCACGCCAGCCTGGCTTCCTCCTGCCCAGCAAGCGGAGTCAGAGCTGCAGGGGAGCTACAGCCACACGTGCAGCTGCTCTGGTGAAAGAAACACACGTCGGCCTGCTCTGCGCCTAGATTTCGCCCTGGTCTAAGGGTTTGCAGACCGTCTTGATCTTGAGTGAAGCCCCGGAGGGCAATGGGGTCACTGATCTGTTTAAAATTAGGCAGAGGAGCCAAACCACAGTATGCTACAGGGTCAGAGCTGCAGGGGAGCTACAGCCACACGTGCAGCTGCTCTGGTGAAAGAAACACACGTCGGCCTGCTCTGCGCCTAGATTTCGCCCTGGTCTAAGGGTTTGCAGACCGTCTTGATCTTGAGTGAAGCCCCGGAGGGCAATGGGGTCACTGATCTGTTTAAAATTAGGCAGAGGAGCCAAACCACAGTATGCTACAGGGGGTCCCCACTGCAAGTCGCCCCGGTATTCATCCATCCCTTCCACACTGACGGCGTTGACGCTTGTAGGGACTGATGCGTTATAAGTCTTCCCGTTCCCTGCTTTTAAGATGTGTGCAAATATGCGCAAATGGAAATCAGCCATGTGGGAAAAAAAATCCCCTATTTAAGTTGTTTCGCTGTACGCCCAAGTTTTTTTGAATGTATCTTGGACTTATAATGAGGACCGCCTGTACATCCTTCTGCCGGCAGAGTGATGGTAGGGATGTGATGGAGTGTGACATAGGACAGACCAAATTGTGCTGGAAATGCAGTTATACTGACACAACCGTCCCTTTGCTGGTGTCAGTGGTTTAGCTCCTGAGGCTGTGTGGAATAAGCTGTTCCAGTGAAACTTTTTGCTGGGATAAACCACACTAACTAGGAGCACTTAGCCACTGTAATATATGAGTACATCTATACTAGTTAAGCACATCTGGTATAAACATGGCTGTGCACCAATTGTTACGCTATCCGCACATACCACAAATAGGGCCATGTCTTCACAGATCTGTTGATGTTCAATAATTGATCAACTTATCATTTTGAACAGTCCTGAATTATGATTAAATCATTGAGACTAACCTGTAATATTTGATATTCCTGAAGCATTTTTAATCTGTGGAACTCAAACCATTTTATAAACACCAATTAAGCCAAAAATGCACTTATGCTTAGTGACACTTATGTTTGAGTAAATCCATAAAGGATTATAGAAGCTTTTCTTTTTATAACAGTTCCATCTCTATTTTTGAAATATAGTAAGTAAGGCTTTAAAAGCTGCTAGCCAACAAGTGCAATTTAACTGTATCCATCCATTATATTGCAATTTACTGTTTTCTCGTCATATTTGAAACCATTTTAATTTAATATGCATTTAACTTGACTGCAAAGATTATTGTGATTTCATTTTGTTAATCACTTACTTCTTCCACCTGCACCCCCAGGCTGGTACCGTGATAGCTGTTGGTCTGACAATAGCAGCTGCTGGATTTGCAGGTTTGTATCTGGTGTGAGAAGTCAAACATTGTGTTATACTTTTCATTATCTGCTTTAATAACGGTGCAGTGTAACACATACTATCAGTACAGCACATGACACAAGTATATTGTTTTTTGAGGGATACATATAGAGGAATGGACTGGCTGATCTGATTGCAGCCAAAGAAAATAGCTAAATTTTTATCTTTTTTTAGTCAGCCAAAAACATTTTTCCTACATATTAATCTGAAAGGAAATTATTGTACTGAATTTCTAAATCTGCATGAAATGATACTATTAGTACTTTTAATGTTAATCATTTTTGTTAAGGTCGTTATGCCTTACAAGCTATGAAGCAAATGGAACCACAAGTAAAACAAGCCCTTCAGAGTCTGCCAAAATCTGTAAGTTTTGTTTTATCCACAGTATTTTTTTCAACTTATGTTAAATATTTTTCTGTACATAAATAACTTTACTCAGTTCCAAGTGAGAGAGTATATAAAGTAATCTACTATATATATGAGTGAGCGAGTCTGTCTGTTCAAGAACTCCTAAACTGTAAGAGCTAAGACTACCAAATTTCGCATGCAGCTTCCTCTTATCATAAAGCAAGGTGAGGGTTTGGTTGTCAGGGGGCCTGAAGCTCTCCCCCTCCTCCTCCAATTTGTATGGGGATGCATTAAAAAACCTCCTCCTAAACGTTAAACACTAGGGCCACCAATTTTGATATACAACTTCCTATCATAATTTAAAGCAAGGTAACAGTTTGGTTGTGCAAAGGGAGAGGCGTGTGAAGCGCCTTCCCTCCTATCCCCGAAGCATATTGGCACAAAAAATCATACAGAAAAGGGATAGAACCACCAGGAAGGTGAAAGGGGCTGTCTGGGAGCCTAGGCTTTCCACCCCCTAGGTGCCCTTTAGGGAGGGGCTGCAGTCCCCCTTCCCCCATTCATATGGGTACATTGCTGGCTGTTCCCCTTTGTCAGGAAGTGAAAGAAAAGTGCACCATTTGCCCCATTCCTCAATCTGGATGGGAAGCATATGGGGCAGACAAACCTAGACCTGCCCCAGCCATAGGACATGCTCCCCTCCCCTAGCTATGCTCGGTGGAGCTGCAGCAGCCCAGGAAAGGTGCTTCTCATCTGACCCTAAGCTACTGCGGTGATAGAGGGCTGGGGTAGTCCTCTCTCCCTGGGGAAGCCTGCATACTGACCTGCCCCAGCCACAGAGCAATGATTTTAAATGAAGAAACACAAACATTGAGTTTAGGACCCAAGACACACAAGGTAAAAATCTTCTCATACGTGAGAGAGAGCGGCCAAATTGTCATCACAGCAGTACTGTATTACTGATTGGTGCTGTTAAATTGGGACAGAAGATCTCCAAATTGATGTATAAAACATTTACCCTTATATCAATGATTCTGCTGTAGGTCAGTTCCAGATTAAAATGGTTGATATGGCAAATACACCAAACAGTTGAGTAAATAATAAAATTCAACTTTGATTGAATTTCGTGGTAATAATTCATAAGAAGCATCCTTGTAATCTTATAGATAGAAACGCTCTGCAGCTATTAATGAAGAAATGATGATCTTTTCACCTCCAGTATTGTTTAATTCACATTATTTTGCCTGTCAGTTTTCTTACTAATGCATCTTTTATTTCAGGCCTTCAGTGGTTATTACAGAGGTGGATTTGAACCCAAAATGACCAAGCGAGAAGCAGCTTTAATATTAGGAGTAAGGTAAAAAATCATTTGAATTAAAAATATAGGATACAGGAGAGAATACAGCACTAATGAGTTAAATATCAGGTGTCTGATTTTTTTTTCCAGAGGAACTGAATCTTCAAAGCTCTCAGACGTCAGCATTGAAATTCAATGCCAAGTTAAATTAAAAAGGAGTATCATAATGCAGAGACTGCTTTTACTCAGATCCAGGTCTTTCTAAGGTTGCATATATTGTTGATTACAGTATGTTGTACAAAGAAACACTACTTTTTAAAACCATTTCTGATTGAGGATTAAGTTTTCAACCACTTTTTTTTGTATTACATTTCTAACTTGCTTTAACAGCCAACCTATTTTTTCATGGCAAAAGAATGTCACTGCCTGTCTATCAAAACATGGACAATGGTATGTTTTTATAATTTCAGTACAACATTTCTTTTTTCAGACACATACCAATAAAGTTAATGACTGGTGGTTGCCTTTAGCAAATTTTGGAAAGATTGACTTTGGTTTTGGCTGTAGAAGTTCCACAAGCTTTCTGAGCTTAGCAAATATGAGGGGTTAGGTGTAGCTATCCTCATTTCTGTATTCAGGAAATGGCTATTTTGATAACTTCAGCTGGTAGACTTGTACTGCATTATTAGCTTATGTACTTGGTGGCCTTCTCTGAAGCTGACTGTCATCTCTTCTGTAACTGACTGACCATGAAGAAGCTGATAACTGCAGTAATCATCCCAACCAAGGCTTTGTCAAGCCAAGACTTAAAAACCTCTAGGGATGGAGATTCCACCACCTCCCTAGTCAACCCATTCCAGTGCCGCCTCATCCTCCTAGTAAAATAGCTTTTCCTAATATCCAACCTAGACCTCCCCCACTGAGACTTGAGACCATTGTGCCTCCATTCTGTCATTTCAGTACTGAGAACAGCCTCTCTCCATCCTCTTTGGAATCTCCCTTCAGATAGTTAAAGGCTGTTATCTAATCTCCCTCCACTTTTCTGTCAATTAGATAAGCCCAAGTCCTTCAGCCTCACCTCATAAGTGCTCCAGCCCCCTCATAATTTTTGTTGCCCTCTGCTGGATTTTCTCCAATGTGTCCACATCTTTTCTGTAATGGGAGGCCTAGAATTGGATGCAGTACTCCAGATGTGTCCCTATCAGTGCTGAATAAAGGGGAATTTGGATCTGCTAGTAATGCTCCTTCTAATGCACCCTAATATGCTGTTAGTCTTCTTGGCTACAAGGACACACTGACTCATATCCAGCTTCTCATCCACTATCCCCCGATCCTTTTTCTGTTGAACTGCTGCTTAGCCAGTCAGTCCCCAGCCTGTAATAATGCTTGGGATTCTTCTGTTCCACTTGTCTTTGTTGAACCTCATTGGATGATTGGGGCAAAAAAAAATTATTTGTCTAGGTCACTCTGGACCCTATCTCTAACCTCCAATGTATCTACCTTTTCCCCTAGCTTAGTGTCACCCACAAACTTGCTGAGGGTGCAATCCATCCCCTCATCTGAGTCATTAATAAAGATGTTGAACAAAACCGGCCCTAGAACTGATTCTTGGGGCAAAAAACCATAAAAGGTAATATCACTGCCAACCAGACATCAAGTCGTTGATCACTACCCATTGAACCCGACAGTCTATCCAGCTAGCCCATTTATCCAATCCATACTTCCTTAACTTGCTGGCAAGAATACTGTGAGACCATATCAAAAGCTTTGCTCAAGTCAAGGTATATCATATGAATACATATTATTTGTATTGTAGTAATACCTAGAGGCCCCATCAGATATTGTGGTTCCCTTTTGCTAGGTAACGCATATACAATTAAAATACTGTCTCTCTCCCAACACTTGACTCTCAGTAAAAAATATTAAGAATAAAAATTTAGTTAAGGAAAATACACAAGCAGGCAGCCATAATTAACAGTTTAGGGCAGGGGTGGCCAACCTAAACCTGATAAGGAGCCAGAATTTACCAATGCAGATTGCCGAAGAGCAACAGCAATATGTCACCAGCCCTGATCATCTCCCCACCACCTCTCTCAGCACATCCCACCTATGGGCAGCCCCACGGGTCAGTGCTGCCGTCGTCTCCTTTTCCTCCTGCCCACTATGATCAGCTCTCTTAGTGGGAGACAGTGGAGGGAGGATGCATGGGTGTGGAGTGGGTGGGAAGTGGCAGGATCCTAGGGGGAAAGGGTGGAGGGAGACAGCGCCTAGGGCAGAGCTGGGGGTCGAACAGTGAGCACCCTCAAGCCCATTGGAAACCTGTAGCTCCAGCCCAGGATTTGGAACCTATACAAGGAGCCGCATATTAACTTCTGAAGAGCTACATGTGGCCAGGCTGGCCACCCCTGATTTAGGGATTCAAATAACTAAGTAGCTATGTCTCAAACACATACTCTCCTTAGAGCCCTCTAAATGTTTGTGGAGGTGTGTTTTCTCTTTCAAATATGATCGAGTTTCCAATAAATAGAAAAACATAAAAAGTAATATCATGCTCCTTTTGACAGTTCTGCAGTAGAAACTCGCCATTATCTATTAGTGAAACTACAATATATATATTAAATGGTATGATGGACTGAAGATGTTGAATAAAGCAGCACTAGGTGAAAAAAACTGCAGTGAAAAAAATGTGCTTTCTAATCTCTTTACTTGCTGTGAAAAATTATGTAGTATGAGAAGTTATTTTTAGTAATTACTAATTTTCCTTAATTGGCAGTTTTTCTAATTGTGTAATAGTTTAATAAAATTTCTGTAAGTCAGGTTACCTAACTATCTATCTATCTTTTTAAACTAGTCCTACAGCCAATAAAGGTAAAATTAGGGAAGCTCACAGACGGATCATGCTTTTGAATCATCCAGATAAAGGTATGTAAAATCAGTAGGGATAAGTTCATTTTTAAATAAATCAGTTATTACTGTCCACCCAGTATATTTTCCTCCAAATTAATGGAACCAGGATAATGAGCTACATAGGACATATTGGTACCTGATTTATGTATTAACAACAAAAAAAGTCTGCTTTGAAGGTAATACATATTAAAATACTTCAGTATTTGTATATTCAGAGGTCCCCCTCCTCAGACATTTAAACACTATTCAGACTAATAGTCAGCAAGTTAATTCATCTTTCACTACCTGATATATCATGTCTGCATTAACTTATCATATGAAGACCAAAAAAGGTCCTTTTCAGTGAACGCCTACAGCGTGATTATAGAGCTGCTTCAATGCATATAACTGCTATTTGATTAGAATTGGGCCTTTAGACTCTTCAGGAACAGAAAAAAACCTAAATATTTACTATTGCTGCTTGTGAGACATTAATGCTGAGATTCAGTTATGTACAGTAGAGTCCGGATTATCCGTCATTCGGTAATCCGACACTCCGCTTTATCCAACCCTGCAGCGCCTGGGGACAAAGCAGCGCTGCAGCATCAGTGGCTCCAGGGCACAGGGCAGGAAAATGGCCCCGCCCTGCTCACTTCCCCGTCGCTCTCCTGGACCTGCAAATGCCGCTCCTGCTGGTGCCACTTTGTCCCCGGGAGTTGCAGGGTTGGATAAACCGTCATTCGGTAATCCGACACTCCGCTTTATCCAACCCTGCAGCGCCTGGGGACAAAGCAGCGCTGCAGCATCAGTGGCTCCAGGGCACAGGGCAGGAAAATGGCCCCGCCCTGCTCACTTCCCCGTCGCTCTCCTGGACCTGCAAATGCCGCTCCTGCTGGTGCCACTTTGTCCCCGGGAGTTGCAGGGTTGGATAAAGCGTAGGCCGGGAGAACGGCCCCGCTCGCTGCCCCGTCTCTCTCCTC